TGGATTATGGTGCAGTCTAAGGAGGCACTTGTCTCAAGACCGTGGCTTCTCCATACATCCTTCAGAGAAGCAGAAGTAGCTCAGCATTCCCAGTCACAGTTCAGCTCCAAGCATCTCCCACGAGTCTATGCCTGTTTAGCCAGGTCCCTGCACAGCTCCATCAGCTCTGCCACCGTCTTCTTCAGCCAGGCTTCCCAGAGGGTCTCCTCTTTCTTACTCCAAACCATGCAGTTTGCTGTTCCTCCAAACCTCATGGCATCTCCTCCCACACCAGACCTCATGGCAGACTGGACCCCTTCTCTTTCAGCCTGCCCTTATTTTATATGCTTGGCCCAGAACTTCCTATGTGACTTCATATCCAGCCTCTCCTATGATGTGCCACTTCTGCCAGTTCCCCACTATTTTATACCTTCTTTCGACTGCCATCTTCAGTCAGGGCAAGAGTTCCCTGTGACACATAGACAACCACCCCTGCCGCCCCTGCTTATGTCACAAGTCACTATATACTTTTACCATTTAAGAAAGGCATAGCTATTACCTTACCATTGTTATGCAAAGTATCTTAAAGGCCATATCATCCACTCCCTCCTTCCCCCAAGTGAAGGGTTGTGGGGGGCTTTCTATTTTAGAGGACTCTCGCTATGCACCCCATTACAAAACCATTTCAGTCTGGATTCCATTTCTACTATTTCCCCAAAGAAAGTTTTAAGGCCACGGTTTACCTTCAAATTGTCAAACCAACTAATCACTTCTATGTTCTCATCTTATTTGCCCTCTACATAGCATTTGACGCATTTGAGCACTGTTTGAATCACACTGGTTTTTTTCTTTTGGAGCCTCCTTGACACCACATTCTCTTCATTTCTTCCTGTCTCCCTGACTACTTCTCAGTCTCCTTTGCTGCTTTTCCTTTTCTAGCAGACTTCTAAATGTTGGAACTTCTCACCACTTGGTTCCAGGCTCCTGCTTCTTAACCTGCATTCACCATAAACAATCTAATCCACTGTAGGTTTACAGTTGTGAGTACATGAAACAGTTTATTCTTGTATTATTATCATTGTGAACTGTAAACCTACTTTTGCCCCACCCTGTATATACCTACCTCAACCTCTCTCCATAGCATTGAGCTCATATAAGTAACTTACTTTCCCACCTGGTGTATTCAGAAGTGACCTTATTGAATTTTCCCAAAAAACCTGCTTTTCTGACTTCTACTTGTTGTGCATAGATAATTGACAACAACAATCTCACCAAGAACAGCTAGCCAAACTGGGCAAAATAACAGTTTTCAATCTACTTAAAGGTATCAGAGGACCAAGAAGATAATGAAGAATTCCATCAACAAGATGCAAAGGAGAATACAACTTAGAGACCTGAGCTCAGCATTTGGGCTGCTTTTCTTCTAGGAGCATTGCAGTTCAGGAGGAGGTGGTTGAGAGCCTGAGAAGCTAAACAACTTTACAGCCTTTCTGCGGAGTTAGAGGGATAAAAATGGGAGTCCAAGACTCTTTTAGAAAGGAGGGAGGGACTTGAGCAACTGACCACACTTTGGATTGGGACCTCAAGGGCAACATCCTAATTTTAAGGGGGAACAAAAGCTAAATGTCATTTGAATCTTCGCAATTCCTAAAACTGGACTAAGGTGACCCTGGAGTCCTAGTGAACCTAGTCACTACCCAGAGCAAGTGTAAATGTTCTCTGGACTGACCTTCCAAGTTATTTTTTACAATTTCTCATATTTAATACTGGATAGTCTACATCACCTGAGGAGGTAAGACAACATGATCAAAACCCAAGAGAAATGATAGACAATATGAACAGACCCATAGGGCATCTAGATAAATGAGTTTTTAAACACAGGCTTGATAATTACTGTGGTACATTCAAAGGTATAAAACACAAAATTCAAAGTTTCTACAGAAAATTAGAAACTATACAGAAGAACTGACAAATCTCAAACTAAAAAAAAAATGCATTGATCAAATTTAAGAACTCAGGGAATATATTTGATAGAAACTGGACACAGCTAAAGTACAAATTAGAGAACTAGAAATTAGGTCAGAAGTAAATATTGGCTTGGCCAAAAAGTTTGGGTTTTTTTTTCCACACAATGGCTCTAGTAGTGCTTAGTCGTATTTAACTTCATGCCAACTGGCAATGGGCAGCTTCATCATGACAACGTACTGCTCATGCATCATTCCTTGTGAGAGTTTTTCGGTGAAACATCAAATCACTCAGGTGACTCAGTCCCCCTACAGCCCAGATTTGGCGCCCTGAAACTTTTGGCTTTTCCCAAAACTAAAATCACCTTTGAAAAGGAAGGGATTTCAGAACTTCAATGAGATTCAGGAAAATACAGTGGGGCAGCTGATGGTAATTGGGAGAACTGTGTGAGGTCCCAAGGTGCCTTCTTTGAAGGGAACTGAGGTGTCCTTGTCCTATGTACAATGTTTTTTGTATCTCCTTCAATTAGTGTCTCTATTTTTCATATTACATAGCTGGACACCTTGTGCACAGACTTGGTACGTGCAGTTTATTGTACATCAATTGTATTTCAGTAAAGGTGTTAAAAATAATAGGATGTTTATTAAATCTGTCTGTCAATAGTTGACTATAACTAAGGTCTCGCGTGACTTTATTCATGCTTCCAGTAGCTGAGCAGACTAACCCTAAAGCCATAGCTTCCTCTGGTGACTTTTCTACCAACTCACCAGCCATCCTCTTGCACAAACCCATCTATGCCTCACTTTCAGCAGTGGTAAAATGGAACACACCATTTCCTTCCTATTTCAAGGGGCCATTGGAGATAATAATTAGGAAGTCAGATGTCAGTGCAAAATAAATACTTCAAGTCAATATGTGAACCCTTGGTTTCACAGTTCTTGACTATCTTCAAGAAAACCAACTTTGACAAAAATCTACCTTTCCATTTTGAGCTGCTGGCAAAATTGCCTGAGAATGACAGAGGGCTTATACAGGTACTATTAATTACATACTTTTTTAAAAAACACCATACAGATGAGTTTCTAAAAGTCATTTAAAATTATACCTTTTCTACCATTAATTGGCATGTGTAATTAAGCAAACTGAATTAATTTTTCCTTCATCCTCTTACCATGCTAATTTCAGTCTCTTGAGTTTTCATTCATGACATTCAGGAGGCGAAGAGTGCCTGGTTGACCTGGCTGGTGTGGCTTAGTTGGAGTGTCAACCGTAACCAAAGGGTTGCAGGTTAAATTCCCAGTCAGGACCTAGGTTTCAGGTTCCAATCTCTGGTCTAGGCACGTAGGATCCATGTACAGTACCTGGCCTGGGCGTGTACAGGAGGCAACCAGTCGACGCTTCTCTCTAGCACTGATGCTTTTCTCCCTCCCTCTCTCTCTCTAAAAAGGCAATGAAAATAATGTCCTCGGCTGAGGATTAAAACAAAAATGCCTAGCCTACAAACTCTCAACAAATCCTAAATATTGGTAAACACAGTGCCAACCACTGTAGGTTCATTGACAAGTAAAATAAAACTGACCTGGACCCTAACCACCTGAACCCTCTCTTCAAATGTACGTTTTCAAGGCTCAGTCCAAGTCACACCTTCTCTACAAAGAACTTCCACAGTGCCCTGGCTAGTGTGACTCTGTTGGGCATCTTCCTACAAGCCTAAAAGTCGTGGGTTCAATTCCCAGTCAGGGCACATGCCTAGGCTGCGGGTTCAATCCCTGGTCTGGGTGTGTACAGAAGGCAGGCAATCAATGTTTCTCTCACATTGGGGTTGCCCTCTCTCTCTCCCTTCCTTCCCCTTTAGAAAAAATGTTTTTAAAGACAACATAAAGATTCCACACTAATCTGCAAATCTCACCCTTTTCTTAATTTGCACTTACAGTCTATACCATGCCACATGATGTTACTCTGCAGCATTGTAAATTGTTCCAACAATCCATCTTTTTGTTTTTACCCCACATGTAGTGTTGGATTTATTAATCAGTTTTCATCACTGGTTGTACAAGAGCCCTCTTATTATATTTTATCCCCATACTACACCCATCTCTCTCCCCATCCTGAGCAACCGTTATAATACATTTAAATGTTTATCTCTTCATTGTGTTCTTACATAATGAGTACTACCTTCTATGAACATAAATTTCGGTGTTAACAGAATTGTGTCACAGTTCTTTCATTTTCTTCATTCCTCACCAAGCTTCTAGGGCACACCCACGTCGCTGTGTGCACGTTTATCCCACTGCTTTTACTTGCTGTACCTCATGGTGCACTTTCACCACATGTCACTTTCCCCCTTTCTCCAGGACAGCCACCAGGGTGGCCTCCAACTTCCTCAACAACTATTGTACAGTTATTTTATGTACATTATCTTGCTTATAGCTAAACTGTGAATTGCTTATAAAGAACCATGGCTTTCTTCTGTTAAGCCCCCTTTGACAGTAGACAGGAAATATTTGTTGATTTTCTATTGTGGCCTAAATATGTTCTCTACTGCAAGGTGCTAAAAATTAAAGTAAAATTAGTGTAAGGAGTTGCCAGTGGAGTGTCCCTGGTGTTTAATCTTGACTTTACCCCTTACCAGCCCCGTGACCGTGGGAAAGTAACACCTACTTGCTTTGGGCATGTTTTTTTCATCTCTAAAATACTACCACCTACATTAGTGTGCTGTTATGAGGAATAAATCAATTAATACAAAATACCTCAATACCACAAATGGCATATAATCAGCGTATAATAAATTATGGCTGCTGTAAGTCCTATATATTGCTTCAAATCAGTCATTTGCACCTGTCAATTCTTCTAAGAGAGTGTAAGCACCTTGGCAGAAGGACTAGGTATTTCTTTATATTGGCTCATTCAGCACTCAGCTTCGTGTAATATTCCATACATTTACATTAAATGGGTTACTGCAATTCTTTGATTAGCACCACTCACCTAGATTTTAAGCATAAATGCTAGACTATGTTAAAATGCTCTTTTTTCCAAGAATGTAGTATGTATTACTCTTTATTGCAAGATTCATGGCAATCTTTTATTTGTCATTTATTACATGTTGAAAGAAAAGTCGCATTTATTAAGAAAAAAAATCGCAAGTTAGTCTTCTGTGTGTAAGAAGATGGCTGTTTTCATGTTTTCCGGTTCTTCCTCCAATGGCTTGAAAATGCAAGTACTCCATCAGTTGTGTTTTGTCTTCTGGATTTTAAAATGAGAAGAATATGTATCCTGTAACAGAGTGACAGTAACATGAATCAGTCCTTCCTTGTATTTACCCCAATTTTTGACAATTCCTTCTGTTTTAAGGAACTATATCATTATGATTCACTGTTGAGAATCCTTATTTACAAAACCTGGGGAAATGCTTAAATTAGAATAAAAATCATAGCTAAAATTCTAGACCCACATAACAAGCTTAGCATCATTATCTCTATCACCAATAAGCATCTGCTCATGTCATTTTGTAAATGCTGAAATCTCTATTATTACTCTTCTGGAGCAGCATATCATACGTACACTGACTTGCCTTAATAATTATGAAGAATCAGAATACTTAAAATTGAAATATTTGACAGATATCTCTAAAATGATTTGTGAACTTTTAGTACATTGCTTTTAAATAAGGCAACTCAATCATCTCTAAGATGTGACATTTCATTTGGGAAGATACACATTTACTACTTCCAAGAATTTGCACTAAGATAATTAAAAATAAAACGCAAAATTGAATGCTGCTATTGTTCTTAATCTCTAAAAAACATAAAGATTCACCAAAACAAAGTTCCAGATGTACTGTTCCCAGCCTAAAGGACAGAAACAAATTTAAGTATTATCCCTAAGTACATTTAGTTTGGGATAAAGCTATATTGGCATTCTCTTAACTTAGATACTTATAAACAAATTACAATAAGGGGACGGATATATAAAATAAAAAATAACAATGTGGAGGAAAGAAGCAGGGAGGAGAAAATTGAATAAAAAAAGTGAAAAGCAATTTTTAAATGTTTCTATGGTTTTGTGTAAAGAACAAGGTATGATGTCTCAGAAATGGTACTGGGGAATGAAATGATGCCCAGTTTATCATTAAAAAAAGTGATAAAGCAGTAAGACCACAGAATAAGCAACATATTAAAGACGGTGGTAGGAGGAAAAAGACTGTCACTGTTAGCAAAGTTTAAATGGAATCAAGTGCTAGATTTACTGAGTAATGTTTAGATTTTACAGTTAGATATTGTGTAAATAAAACAAAATATTGTAATACCTGCTACAGTGGGACTGAAACTCTAGACCCTGGTCCTTCTTTCCCCTCTGAAAAAAATTATTCCTATAAAATGTCTCTCTGCCCTATTATTTAACTCTTTGATCTTCACACTATTAGTTCAATATCCTCTTAGCATCAAAATTAAAGTATTAACAGCTAATCCTTAGTATGCATAACACTCCACAGTGTGTGTTAAGAGTTTTCCGCATACTAACTCATTCAATTCCCATAACACTCCTATGACTACGTGCTGTTGCCATCATTAATCTCCATTTTGTAGACGGAGACATTACTTATCAAAGGTAACCTGCCTGAGGTCATGGGACTGAATAAGGTAAAACTGGAATTTCAACCCATGTAGCTTGGCACCAGGATGCTGTGTCACCTTTCTAGTAAGGTGGCCTTTCCCTCTCAACTCTTATCCATCAGTGAGCACAATACCACTATATTACCTATATTCCAAATTTAAAACTCAGATGTAGTTTTTGATGAAGCTCTACTCTAAAGCCACCCCACACTACCAAGCCCCAACATTATACCAAAACACTCATAAATGATTTAACCCAAAGCAAACTGGTCCACAATACAAGTTGGCAGAAAATGCATAGCCCCCCACCTTCATGATTTTTCAAGCTTGGGATGGGTTAGTGCAGCATTTTGTTTTAAGCATTTTTGCTTTTTTCACTAATTCACTTTTACTGTCCTGCAAACACTTGGAACAAATTAAATGTCTACTAATTCATGGATTACTTAAATAGTGGTAGGTTCTATAATGGTACATATTATATCCCATTTTATAATTCTGTTTATATATCAATCTTGCCTAACTTATTTCTGAAAGAAGGTAGTATCATTGAAAGAAATGCTTCAACAATAAAAACCATCCACAGAAAAACCTTTGTGTAATTGTAGCTATAATTTTTGGCTTAATTCCTTACATTTCCTATGCTTTTTATACATTAAATTCTTTTGATGGTTGCAATTTTCTCAGAATTCATAATATTCCTCACTTTTCTATAAGAATGAGTGTTGAAAGAATGAGTGATCCACAAATTTTCTTAGACACAGACATAGGCACATCTCAGATGCGCAGTGTTTCTGGATCAAGTCAAAGGACCAGCATTACACAGCCAGAGGGCATCAGTTTTAACAGCATGCTAAGTGCTTGAAGAGAGGCAAGCATGGGGCTGAAGTTCACACAATCCTGGGGAGAAATGAGACAGGAGGGCAGATTATCAACCCAAAGAGGTGACACCAGGACTGAGACTTGTAGGGTGAGTAGGAATTTGAGAGAAAAAAGAGCATTTGGCATATACACTGGTCAAACAGTTCAGTGTAGAAGAAAAAATGGCAATCTTTGCTTTGATTTTACCTTATAGTAAACTTCTTTCTCCAAGACTAGTAGTAATTTACAGTAAACCAACAGATATGCATAGGGAATAGAATACCCTTTACATATTTTGTATTGATTTCATGAAATTAGTAGAGGATTAACTAAGAAAAGTTTTTAAGCACTAGAAAATGTCATACTTCCCTACAAGTTTGATATGTATTAAGAAGTGTATAAATTGTTCTTACCAGACCGATCTTAAAGTTGTCAATCATTTTCTTCCCTAATCTGTTCATTAGCCACATGCCCCAGGTTGGCATATACTGCCACAGATACGCCATTGACAAAAAAGGTTGCTCTGCGATCCACACTTCTTTCAAGTCATTGGCCATGCTGATTAACATCAGCCGCACACAACGACTCGTTACCATCTTGTTGGACTGGTCTCGTTCACCACATACAGCCTAAGAAATATTTTAAAAATGAAATGAATACTGAGTGTTTATCCAAAGTATTTCATAAAACTTTTAAGCTAAAAAGGACCCAGAAGTCATCTAGTTGAGTGACTCCTTTAACGTGACCTCATGCTGCCTAGGAGTCCCTCATAGGTACTACTAGGTGCCTATAGTATTTCAAAAAGCCTAAAAGGAATCATATACACTTACCAAATAAGACTGTGCAGGCTAACTAAAATATGAAGGTTCTTTCCTTTTAATTAGAATTGTATCACCTTAATGTACTTCAGAATAATCATACATCACTTTAATAATAAAAATCTTTAAGCAAATTAATACATACATTTCACAAATGAAATTCTATTACACATAAGAGTCGAGCCCTGGCTGGGTGGCTCAGTTGGCTGAGCATTGTCCCATGCACAGAAGGTTGCCAGTTTGATTCCCATCCAGGGCACACACCTAGGCTGCGGGTTTGATCCCCAGGTCGGGGTGCATACAGGAAGCAACCAATCAATGTTTCTCTCTCACATTGATGTCTGTTTTTGTCTCACCCTCTCTCTCTTTCTCCCGCTTCCTCTCTCTAAAATCAAGAAACATATCCTCAAAAAAAACTTTAAAAAAATGAAAAAAAAAAAAACCAACACAGTCCAAGGGGAAGAAATGAAGGAAAAAGGTAAAAGTGGTTTGTTGGTAGTGGATATATCTGGTACTGCTAAGCTAGTCAACTCACTATCATTCTATAAATAAATAAACCGAGGCCCAGAAAGGTAGTAACGCATCTGCACTCACACAGGTGAATAAAATAACCAGGTCTACATTCCCAGTCCATTGACTCCTATAATTGGATGGTCATTCTGTTTTATCTTAGAGCCTCCACAGAACATATGAAAATATAAATTATGTCTGTCAACATTTACGTAGAAACATATATAGATTAATGTTTCAGTAGAAATAGATATTAATAGAGAAAAAGGAAAATTTCATGGTCTTTAGAGGGACTTTGTATTATTGAGTGACACTGGATTCTTCGTGAGATATTTGCTATTCATTGAGAAATCACTATATGTAACCTGAGCCGAGGGAAACACAGGCCTGGGTGAGGCTAACCTACAATTACCACAATGCAACAAGGCTTTTCCTAAGCTCCTTTACCATAATTTCTCTTTAAAATCCCAATTCATTTAATATACTAAAACTCTGCCACGCAGAACCTTTCAGTATTGCTATAATTTGTGAATGGATAGAAACAGGGTTTTTAAAATCCCTTAATAGTGGATTATATATCCAACAATTTCTTTAGCTTTCATTAAAACTGACTGCCAAAACACTATTAGCTAACCTTCACCATTTACCTAATGCCATGAGTTAAGGTTTGCAAATAAGTCATAAGCAGTTCTAACATGAAAACCTTGAGGCATAGTGATACAACACCAATACAAAACTACTAAAACATTCAACTCACACCCCAACTAGAAATTTTTACCTGAGTGACATCACTAGTTAGGGCATTCTTCACAATATTTGACTGCACAGGTCCTGGAAAAATGTTAGAAACTACTATACCTGGGTATGCAAAAAGTTCAGTTCGAAGGCTATTAAAAAAACCCTAATAGACAAAAAAAAAAAAAAAAAGGCAAATAAATACAGACATATATCTCATGTTTAAGCAAATTAATACATACACAGTTCTTCAATTATGAAGGACAATAGGAGCACATTATCAAAATATGTTCTGAAATACCTGAATAACAGGAAATGTAACTGTGCAACCTTTATTAGGCATTTTTAACTGTAAGACTGGAGGTAATCTAGAGTAGCATTCTCAGCTCCTTCCAGGTAAGAATGGTTCCCCTGTTTGGCAGTCATAGATCATGCCATCAGGGATTTTTATGGTAGGCAAGCACTGGATAGGTGGAAAAATACCCCTTGGAGATTCTGATACTCTTTACACCAATCCCCATATCCCATTCCAAAAGGGGTACATGTTCTCCACTGGGAATCACTCAGGTTTGGTTTCTTTTTATCTGTCAAAGTGGTCTAACATGCCAATATTGGGGCAAGAGGGAGAGAGAGGGGATTAGTACATAACAGAAATTCTCATCAAGAAAGAATTCAGGCCTAGCCAGGTGGCTCAGTTTGTTAGAGTGTCATCTCATACACCAACAGGTTGTGGGTTCAATCCCTAGTCAGGGCACATGATATGGGTTCGATCCCTGGTTGGGGCATGGGCAGGAGGCAACCGATTGATGTTTCTCTCTCACAGCAATGTCTCTCCCTCTCCCTCCCCATCTCTACCTTTCTCCTCCCTGTCCTCTCTCTCTAAAATTAGTGAACATATCCTCAGATGAGGAAGAAAGAAAGAGAGAGAGAGAGAGAGGAAGGGAGGGAGGGAGGAAGGGAGAGGGAGGGGAAGGAAGGAAAGAAGGAAGGAGGGAGGGAGGAAGGGAAAGAAGGAGGGAAAGAAAAAAAAGAAAAAAGAAAAGGAGGAAGAAACTTTTTCTATGTATTACTAGTTTAACAATTAATTTCAGCCAACATTCCTCTTTTCTGGACAATAAGATCCTCTAGACTTAAATAGACTTGCCATTTCTAAACCAAATAGGGAGTAAACATCTACTTTCCCTAATCTCTTTTCCTAATTTAGGAAATGGTCCAAGATTACATTGTTATAAACTGAGTTAACTACTGAAAAGCCTAAACAGCTAACCCATGGTACATTTATTTATGATCCAACAACATTAGCTACCAGCCCTTAATTCTGACTCCTAAGAAACACACAGGGCCTATGAAGATTCATGCCATCAGAGGCTAATACAGTGGCTAACTCAGATGAACAGGAAAAAGGCTACCTAGATGAATGAACTCCCATACCCTTAACTATCTGCCACTCTTTAGCAAAGAGGAGAGAGGAAAGACACCACGAGAGCCAACACATCAAACAGTAAAACCTCTTCTTGTTTGAAATCACATCTAGTACAGCATGTGAACTTTTCATTGATAAACAAGTTCACTCTATAGCTTTCTGGGCATCGGAGAAGGAAATGTGCTCTTCAAAGAGCCATTATCTGCCATATTGTGTCAGAGATTCAAATCCAACAATAAAACATTGAGCCTCGAAGGACAGGCCAGACAACTCACATTGTGTTTGAGAGCGTGCTGCATGTCTTATGACATACTTGGTGCCAAACAGATGGGGTAGCCGCCTCCCCTAATCTGCCAGCCTGACTTGCCCAACTGCTCTGCAGGAAGTGACTGATACCCTATTATCAAATATGAGGAAATCGTCAGTGTGGCAGTCCTTTTCCTCACTCTCTGCAACTGTCTGCTTTTCACAACAGAAAGGATGTCTTAAGGAACCAAACCTTCACATTTTCCTGAAACTGATAATCATTCACCTATTCATCTCATTATTCAACAGTGAAACATTCTCTGTAAACTGATCTTCAACAGCATTAATTACAAATTAGAAGTCTCCTTTAATCACTCTTCTCCTCCTGGCCTTATGATTTAATTTGTTCCATGTTATAGTTTAATAACATTTCTTCATACCCACTGTTAACCAACATGAAAAATTCATTCATTTCTAATACTGACAACTCAAAAGTTAAGCAAACCAAATCAAGTTTCTCCCCATACCCTCTGCCTTGACTAGACTGTCTTCTTCCAATGAACCCAGGGTAAAGACAGTCAAAGCGAGTCCAAGCAGAGCAATGAAGCACAGTGCTGATCATCTAGTGGGCAGTTCCTATTTCTGACATGCTTATATATTTAGACCAGGTAAGATAAACCCCATCTACAAGAGGGAAGGAAAAAGAAATCACAGAAATGGAGGGGGAGACTACACCCTGAAGCATGTGAAAAAATCAGGGGTGGACCCCAAATTTGCCACGAAGATGCCATGGTAGCAATGAGGAAAAGGCCAAGGGTGACAAGTGGACATGATTCTTGGGGGCAGGGACCATATCTATCACTTTTATAACCCCAGGATCTGTCGCAGTGCATGGCACAGCACAGGTGCTCAATACATGGTTGTTGAATTACAAATAGGCATGGGAGGTTCAAGCCTTTGTAGGCATTTTCTGGGGATGTCCTCTATCAAAGGTCTCCTTGGGTCTCTCTTTCTGTCGCTCTGCATGACTGCGCAGCTCCAGGGACCTCTTACAGTGACAGCCATCCCCCATGTACATTTAGGCCAGTTCTACCCAAGTTAGTTTGAGCAGCCTTACCCGAAGAGCATGTTTGCTGGCACAATATCCACCAGAAAGGGGCACAGGTATGATACCCGTTAAGCTATTCACAGTAACAATCTTTCCTTGCTTCCTCTCGATCATGTGAGGCAGAACACACATTGTCAAGGACACTGTCCCTAAGTAGTTAAGCTTTATGAGCTCCGTGTAGACATCCAGGCTTGTTTCCACACAGAGAGAACGTTGGGATCTTCCACCGTTGTTGACCAGAATGTCGATCTAGTTAAATAAAATCAGAAAAGGGGCATTTGGGCATGACCTGTAATGGATTGATGGAGTACTTAGGGCTGACTGTTGATACTGTTAGCTTGAAGAATCACAGAATCAGAATGGTGTATTTCCAGAAGTCAGAAATAAAAACATAAAATAAAAAACAAAATTCACCTATGGAATTAATTCCTATTGTAGGTGACCATGGGAAGTAGCAAGTGTCATAAAAATAAAAGGCACGGAGTTTCTAGCTTCTTTTGTTCTACATGGAGGAGTTAGTACTTGTTAAGTTATGAAAAGTAGTAATTACACAAAGCTGAAGACTCAGAAATGAAGAGGCCCACCTCATGGGCCCTGATCTCCCTGCATGCGCCCATTTGCCTACAGCCCTTTTAATGATAGCACTACAGATGGGAATCACTTTTGCAGCTATTTCAAAGCAAAACTTTTCAATTCAAAATGCTACTTACTTTACCAAACTCCTGGAGAACCGTTTTGGTAGCCTCTTCGTGTGAACTTATGTCAGTCAGGTCAAGGGGCAAAATGAGTATATCTTTTCCTTTTAAATTGCCATTCTCTAAATAAAGACACTTAAAAATTAGTGTGGAAGTCATGCAATAGTTCATTCAAGCTCCCTGCCCCTCACATTAAGTTTAACACCCATCCTACAACCAGCCTTGGCAGCAAACTCATTTCTGAGTGGCCCTGCAGAAGAGCTTCTCAGGGATCAACAAGAGGACTGGCAGTAACATGGCAACATTTTATCAGACAAGAAGCTAGGGGGGTACAGGGGGACACGGGAAGGGGAATGGCTCTCTTCAGCTTGTATATAAACAGTCTAATGCTGGAGCAGACTCTAGAAAAAAACAAGACTATACTTACAATGTGGTAAAAAAAAAAAAAGGCAAAAAATTTGGAGCAATTTCTTTCAAGTACAGAAGTACTTCTGTATTACAATAAGTTCACAAAGTTAGTTGCTCTTTTACACATATTGAAAACCAAAGTTTATGCTTAGGATCAGTAAGAAGCTCCAGCTGTCCAGTGGCAGGACACACAGAAGCTTCCTTCTGGAGACTAAGGATTCCAGGAAGCAAACACGGAAAAGTACACAATCCTGGAATTCCCAATCAAGAAACATGTTGGACTGTAATGGCCCTTTCTATTTCTGTTCAAAAAACAAACAAACAAACAAACAAAAAACACCTGAAATAAATTTTCTTGAACTCTAACCTTGGAATATAAGGAATTCCTATAAGAAAACAAGCAAGTAGAGAACACATAAGATGTATAAAGGCTTATGGGCAAAGGGGTAAACTGTGAAACATTAACTGTTTTAAAAGAAAGAGAAAAGTTTGCACCAGTTGTCTGACAGATGAGAGGAAAACCACCAGCTGCATTCCAACTAGGAAATGCTGATCTGCTTCGCCTCTGCCAGTGCAAGAATTGCAAGTCTTCCCATGGAGGAACTACCAAAAGAAACGGTCCAGAGCAGATGCACAAGAGCCTTTGTGGCTTTGGCAACTCATATTCATTTCTGGGTGGTTAGTCCCATCAGCAAAGCGAAAGAGATTTCTAAAGAATGACAGGTAAGTAGATGACAAAAAAAGTGGTCTGCTGGAAAATTCAAAGTTATCCCACTTTAGATACTAAACAATAACTTTATTACTTAAGGCTGTTGTCAATGTAAACATAACTACATTAAAACAAGAACAAGAATAAACTGTTGCCCTCTATATTGACTTGAAAAACATTATTTCAAGTTGCATTTTTTAAACTTAATTCACTTCCTATTCTTTCATCCTTTATAACAAAAATCTTACACTATCCCATATGGCTTCAATATCTGTCATTTTAGCAAAATGAGTCAGGATCCTTTCTAATTAAATTTCTATGGTTACATACCTGTATGTCATACATAAGACCAAACTATTCCTTCTCTAAGGCAAAAATATAAGGCATTTATTTGGTTTCTAAAAGTCCACCAACATTTGAGAGAATTGGCCGTCACTCCCTAACACCAAGAAGCAATGCAATTAAAAAAAAAAAAAAAGGGAAAGGCAGCAGGAAAAGGGAAGAAAACGGCAAAGGCAGCTAATTAAGAGAGAATAAAAAGGAAAAGGATTTGGGTCAAAACACCTGGAGCATTTGGAACCAGAGTGCATTGTCTGAGGAAATCCCACTCTTACCGCTGAAATTCCCCAAACTGTATTTGAGTTTGGATTCTGATTTATTTCTAGGAGGCACTGCTGCTGTTTTCAATTTACTTACCAAGGCATCTTCTTTTCACCCTTTCCAGCTCCTGCACCCTCCTGGCTGACAGCACCAGGGACACTCCTAGCGTCGCCAGCTGGTAAGCCAGCTCCTCGCCAATCCCACTTGATGCTCCAGTCACCCACACCACCATGTCGGTCAGCTCCCATTCTATTGAGAAGAGAGAGCGGATGCAGGGGAAAATAAGCTAGAATTACACCTGTATCCGAAGAGTAGCAAAAAAATTGTTTCAAACAACACCATTAATTATGAAGATACAATGTGAGTCACTGTGATGCAACGTTCCTGTGTGCCTTATTTATTAAAATGTGTTATTTATGAAAAATAGAAAACCATGTATCACTTAACATACACATTTCCAGTTTGCACTTTGGATAGTTAAAAATCAGGAAACTAGTTCACTATTTTAGTCAAATGATTCTAAAATCTGTCAGGTTGACAGTATGGGCTCTAGAAACTGCCAGGGGTCAAATCCCAGCTCCATCACACACAGCAATGAAATACTCTGATGTAAGAACACAGAGCCTCAATTTTCTACAACTAGAAAAAGGCATTAATAATAAAAACCCCACCACAGAATTGTTGGGAGGAATGACTTAAAACGGGCAGAGTTCTCAGAGCAGTGTCTGACACATATTCAGTGCTTAATAAAATGTCAATAAGCATTGCTAAAATTCTTTAACAAATGGACTTTTGGCTGCAAAACCTAAGATACTCACTCACTAACGTGTGTTTCAATTTCTCCAGCCAGGGACAATGGAGTTACTAACTACAATGGCTTAATATTTTTTCATTATTTCCTATGCACTTAAACACATTACCCTATTAAAACCCTCATAAGAACCTTATGAAATAAGGATTACCTCAATTTTATAAAAAAGGAAACTGAGGTTTACAGAAAATAATTTATCCCACTAGACTATGAACTCCCTTAAGGCTGAGACCCTGTCTGCCTTGTTCCTTGCTGTGTCCTCAGTGCCTAGCACACTGTCATACACAGGGGACTCCATAAATAACTGTTGAATAAACATCCAACATCCCTTATATCTCAGCAGAGCTGAGCTATAAGCCCAGGTATGTCGAGCTCCAAAGCCCACACTCTGGCCACTAGCCTATGACACCCACATTTGAATAAGATCAATGTTTTAAAACCTAGCTGTTTTTCAGCCACTCAAGAAAAAGCAACTTGTCCTCTGGAAAGGGGTTTCATGTAAATAATCTGAACTAAGGATGGAAACATCCTCATTACCATGTGTAGGCTATGATGCTTTCCCATTATATGATGTGTTTTCCTGGAAAGGCACAATTGAGCCACCTTCCTGAAGGATTTTCTCAGGAATAGAACAATGTATGAGTAGATTCAAAGAGTCATGTATTTATTCATTGACTATTCATTGTCCCAAAGTTCTGCAAATCTCAGACTCCAGGGTAAAGAGTTTGTCTGTAACTGTTTACTAACTAGCATAGAACTACCAAAGATTTCATTTTTATCCCAAAATGCAAATATTATTTAAATCCAACAATTAAAATCCCCAGTCTCACATTTATCTTAGTACACCTGTCATTCTGGCACATTCCTGCAGAAGAAAACTTCTTTTTTGTGCCAATGTTTACAAATTCCACAGAATCTGGTATACGCAACGGCCTCCCTAAAAATCCTCTGAAAGCAGATTCTTGAAGTTCAGAAACACTTACAGTTCAACCCCAAACCCAGTTTGAGAATTCTCTCCTCAGGTCGACTAGTCTCTACTTAATTCCCTCACAGGATGAGGAAGCTAGTGACCGCTGAGGCACTTGCTCGCTCCTTGTGTTGGACCAGTCTGATCATTCAAGGAGTTCAAGTATTCTCATACCGATGTGCTATACCTTTAACTTCTACCTGCCAGCATCTGATGCCTTGTGGCACCAAAAAGAATAGAATAGATCGAGCCTGTCTTGCACATGACAACTCCTCATTTATTTGAAGACAGGTGTTATGTCCTCCCCAAGTCCTCTCCTCCCTCGCTTCTCTAAGGGTACATAAACACCTCCAACTGCTGCTACCTTCCCTCAGATGACATGGCATCAGGTTTCTTCTTCACTCTTCTGGTCACACCCCTCTGCACAGGCTCTAGTTGGTCAATGTCCCTATTGATGGGAACTGGCCAGAGCAGGACACAGGATTCCCACGGAGTCTGTATAGTTCAGAGCAGGGCGAGGTGACTAAACTGCTTCCCTTGTCCCCCAGAAAAGAGGCTGTGTGAGGGCCTGGACAATGGCTGGATCGGTCACTGCTGTGTCCCCAGTGCCCAGCACAGAGGCTGACCCAGGTTACAGAAGCCATCTGTTGTTGTTTGGAGTTTGCTGCTTCAAGACACGAAATATCTGCCAGGCTTGCCTAATTTTTCTGGCAATCACTTCACCGTTGACTCATATCAAGGTTGCTGTCAACTAAAAACCTGAGTTTTCCTCACATGTGCTGCTGTTGAGACTTTCCCTGCTCTGGACTTGTGCCAGATTTTTTTCCTGGATCAACATGTAATATCTAAAATTAGTTCCCCTTAAATGTCACCATGTGAGATATATGCTTGGAAACGCAGAGAATTTCTCTAGAAGGATCCATAAAAGGTGGAGAATGGAGGCTGCCTCCAGAGAGGTATTCTGAGTAGACGGCGGGGGCTAGGCTGGGGAAGGGTTTTCTTTTTCACCTTATATCCTTTTGTACTTTGAATTTTCTATCATGTGAACGTATGATTTAGTTTTTAAGTGACAAAAATAATAAACCTCCAGGGAAGATAAGGAGGATAATTGTTTTGATCTTGATTGAGTCTGCCCATCTTTCCGATCTGAGCTATTTTGGGACCTGAGTCTGTCCTCATGTTCCTTTCACTTTTCTTCATTATCTCCCCACCCCCAGGCGTCCTGTAAGTTACTTTTTTCCTAATAACCCCCCCACGGAATTTTAATGCCACTGGTACACTGTATGTCTGTTTATGTACTATACATACATTTATGCTTTATATTTAAGGAGTTCCATAAAGTTTACTCTTCAGCAAGAATGGCTACATTTAAAAATTAACAGTTAAAAATGAAATGCTATTAGCATTTATCTTAACTTTGTATCTGTATTTGCTGAATAACTTTTAATGTCATGTGTTTACTTAAACAGTAATGTATTAAACTACATATGCAAGTTAGCAAATCATATAACTACATAATAGCAATGTAATTAAATCTATTCAAAAATCTTCCAAAGTTATTTTTTCCAGCAAAAGTAAAACACTGAAAAAATTAATTTGTTAAAATTCAGGTTTAGTCACTTTTAACTTTTGCTTGGCACGTGACTAGCTGCTAGATACTGCCAACATTTTTTTTTCCTTTTCGGGGTTTGACATAATTAATGGGTTGAATAATTTTCATAGAATTAAATAATAAAACACAAACTATTTTTATGTAATTCTCACAGTCCAAGTTAATACAAAAGCACTGAGGATCAAACACAAACATCCACAAAGCAGCCAGTATGCACATGTATTCCTTCTGCTGAAATGGAGCAAACCATCAAGAGACAGTCTGCCAACCACAGCCATTTATTTGCCATAGTTTTGTAGCAGTGACCTTGCATATGTGTCGTGTATCTTCCATGAACTCAATAATGTCAGTGTTGCATATGTCCCCCCAGAAATGAAAAACTAAGGAAAAAGATTTCATCGGGTAGAGTTCAGCTTTGTAGACACAAAATACTGTACCCTCTCAGAGGTGTCTAACCTGTGGGCCCAGGGGGCCACATGCAGCTCAGGATGGTTATGAATGCGGCCCAGCACACAATCATAAATTTACTTAAAACATTGAGTTTTTTTTGTGATTACGTGTCACCATGTACTTAATGGGGCCTACAATTCTTCTTCCAGTGTGGCCTAGAGATACCAAAAGGCTGGACACCCCCGTGAGTTTCTTTTGGGTCCCCAAGAACCAATTTTCACCCCACAGAAGAAACACCACTTCCCTTCTCTCCTGGCCCCATTTTAAAAGCTTACTAGCTCTGGCTTCCAAGCAAACCTCCTCACACGATGAGTCTTTTCATACAGGAAACTTGGTCCAGTGAATCCTTACTTCCCCCAGCCCTTATGGATCCAAAGCCTATCTTTGGGCAGGTCATTAAATTTCTCCGAATATTAGTTTCTCTATCTGGAAGGTAAAATCAACAAAGCCTACTTTGTACAAGTCCTTGTAAAACATAAAGGTCACATGTTGTAAAGAACCAAAGCACACTGCTTAACACATAGCATGTGTCAGTAAACGACCAGCAAATACTAAGCAGGGCACGGATACACACGGGACAAGCGGAACGCCTCCTTAGTATGCCAATAATGACCTTACTTCAGGCAAAATACTGATGCAGTTCTTCCCAGGTTTAACGAATAAGTAGGTGTAGAAGTCCAGGTTACATGGAGAAAAGAATTTTTTAACTGCTCTAAAACTCAGTAACCAAAGGAGACTAGAGAGCCTTTCAGATTCCTTACTGGCCCTATTCCATGGGGATAATCATTTATACTTTTTAAAAGTTTCACCATGAAAAATAAATGGTTATAGGAAACAGCTTTTCCTACTTTCTGCATCCTGATTAAAGTTTGCCTTGAATGTTTCCAAACTCTATTTTCAGATTCTTCTGTGCCAACGGGGGACGGCCCAAACTTATCTGCACATCCTTCCATCTGATGTAAAACTGTTAATCTTTGAAATGTATGTACTTCTCGTTTACACCTCTACCTATATAAGTAGCCCACACTCTTCCAAGTCAGAGCAGTGTTGCAAGGCTTCTTGGAGTTCTGCTCTCGGGCATGTCCTCAATTCGGCCGAAATAAAAACTTCGTCTTAAATTCACAGAGGTTGTGGTCTTCTTTTGGTTGAGAATCTCAAATTTTACGACTTCAAAACCCCAGGAGAGTGAGAAGTAGTGGATTAACAACTTCAGCAAGTAGGAGCACGGAGCTCCTGTCCTCAAAAGGGGTCTCCCTTGCAAACCAGGGGAACGCGCACGCTACTTCTCAAAAGTACGGTCCTCCGCCAAAGCATCAGAATCCCTGGGAGCTCGGTAAGAATTAGGGTCCTGGGGCAGCCCGCCCATTCCAGTACTCTTATTACTCTGGAGACTAGGCATGTCCAGCCTACCAGAACAGTAGATCTAAGGGCAGAACCGCCTCTTCCTCCCTCACCCGCAGCCCCTGGAAAATGCTCAGCCTTGCGGCGTGGAAGCTCCACGCCACCCAGAGAGACGCGAAGGCAGCGCAGACTCGGCGGCACAGGCCCCAGCCTCCCACTCCGGAGGGATGGCTGGCTGCCGGTCCTCACCTGGACGTCGCCCCTGCCACTCGGCCCACAGTAGGGTCAGGTCGCCATCGGCCCGCAAGAAGCGCAGCAGCTGTACCACGATCAAGAGCAGCGCGAACAGCGCCAGCAGCAAGAGCAGAAAGTCCCAGCTCATCGCGGCCGCGCGCGCCCGGCTCCGCGAGAGGAAGACGGTCTGCACCCTCGCCGCGTAGCAGCCCTCGGATTTGTGTAGGGCCGCCTCCCCGCGCTCCCCGCCCTCCCCGCGCTCCCCGCCCTCCTGTCCGCGAGAGGCGCCGCCGGACTCGGCCCAAGCTCGTACGACCTTCGGGAGTCCCCGCCTCGCGGCTCCGCGGGTGGGCGTGGGATGGGCCCGCACGTCGGGCCAAGTACACTCGGCTCGGAAATTGCTACACAAGTTCCGCCTGCCTGTGCGTCCAATAAAGGGTTGCAGTAGGAACAAAAGGCTTGGATTTGTAGTCTCAAAAAATGATTCTTGCAGTTGTTTTCAGGGTAGTTTTCAAAACTCTGGTTGTGTCAACAGGAAGAGCACAAATATTTCAACCAAAAAACGCGGCCTCCTCCTCTTCGTTATTTTTCTTCAACTACAGGAATCGAACAAACCATTAAATTAATTTTGCACCCCACCCAATCCGCACCGAATTAACCCAATCCTCCTGATGTAAATTGGCCCCATGCCAAGTTAAATTTGAAAGTGCAGCACAAATCACTTTTGCCTTGTTGCTGGGTGAGAAAGTGCAGCTTCGACCATAACTGTCTATGAGCATTAGGGCTAGGAGCTCAGGTGTGGAGGACCTTTGCTAACCCAACTTAACTTAGTAACTGTACCCTGGGTGACCTGATTAAATTATGTCCTTATCTGTACCCACAAAGAATATGGAGAAGGATTTAAACGAGAAAGTGCCTGTGATGGAACAGTGACTCGTACACAGTAATTCATTCTCTTGTAATTATTACCATTACTTATCATTATTATTTATTACAGCTTTTTTTTTATTTATTTGTTTCCATTACTATAATTTATTAAACCTCAACCTGAAAGTCAGGGGCTTTGTTTATAAACATATATTCTACACTCATAGAATTCCCCTCACACATGAAAGCAATAAGAATGTTTAAATCGTGATGAATCAGAAATTGTTATGGTTTTGGAATCCTTGAGGAATCTGTGAGCTAGCTGAACTTTGATCTTGATGAATTGTTTACCCCAGTTACAACTTGGAAAAATAGTGCTCAAGAGTTGCCCTCATTGGATTGTCACCTTTGCAATAAGGGTTTTGTTTTCTTTATGATGAATGACTTTTAAAATAAGATGCTTAAATGTACCACTCTCAGTCTCACTACAGTGAAAAAACTCTGAAGAGTTTCCTCTGAGCCTGTTTCCCCTTCTGTAAAATATAAGAGTTGAGGAAGATTTCTTGTCCCAAGCCAGACCATGCCTTGGGTAAACTGGGTTCTCCATCACAAACTCCAGTCGCTGCGAGGCTGAGAGGCGAACAGAGCTGCAAGTTGCAGCTACAGCAGTGGGAGGCGGGACAGCAGGCCAGGACTGGGACACTCTCACCCAAAGAATACCATTTCTGATCTGTCCAGCCCTAGAGATAAGAAGTCTCTGTGAGAGACAGAATCATGGATAGAGAGAGTGTTTTGATGGTTGTTGGATGGGAGGAGGGTTTTGGGGGAATGGGTGAAGAGGTGAGAAAATGAAGAAATACAAGTAGGTCGTTACAGAATAGCCATGGCAATGTACAGTATTGGAAATGGAGTAGCCAAAGAACATATGCATGACTCATGGACATGAACATGGTAGGGGGATTGCCTGAGGGAGTAGGGGGTGCTGGGTGGAGGGGGAGCAAAAGGGGAAAAATCAGGACAGCTGTAATAGCATAATCAATAAAATATAATTTAAATAAATAAATAAGTAAAAATCTTTTAATAATATTTTTAAAAAGTCTCTGTGAGCCCTGAATGTCTCAAAAATATGTCTTTGCTTTTTAATCAGATGTCTTGGTTCAGCATAAATGTCTCATTCATTCCTGTGTATACACTTACTGTAAATTTATATATAATTTTATGTACATGCATTTATCAATTTATATGTTGTAACTGTTAATTTTATATGTTGACTTGGCGAGGCTATGGTACCCAGTTTTTGGTCAAGCACCTGTCTAGTTGTTGGTATAAATGTATTTTTTATTTTGTCTAATTTTGACTTTTTTATTACATATTTAATTGTTGTTCTATTACAGTTGATTCACATCCAAATAGTAAACTACACTATAAAAACAGAAGGAAAACAAAACACCATCATCTAGTTACACAAAATACTCAGATGCTATTCTTGATTAATTTCCACTGGAAATGAGCTTCAGAACATTTAATTGCTCCCTACTTAACACCTAAATGTATTAGACAGGCATCAACAGCAGCAATATTCTTTTCCTTAAGCATTTAAAAGCAAGAGGGTTTTCAATTCACAAGCCTCACAGGGACCCAGAGTGCATAGAAACTAGATCATGGCTGAAAATGAAGGATTGTCAAATGGAGGAAGTTCTAGGAGTTGATGCAGCAGAACTTCTAGCCTCTCTAATTCCTGAAATACTTTGCTTGCCCTGATGCCTATTTTCCTTGGCAGAAGCTAAATACAATTTTAAAACAATAATGCAAGTGAAAAAGACCACAGCCCCTCCTCAGTGTTTTATTTTCCAGTTTTGCCTACTAAATTTTCCTTTTATCTTGAAATGTCTTTGAGACTGTCACTTGCAGTAGTTAAATTTCCTTGAAAAGCTCTTCCTTGTCTCCTTCCAATTCCATTGCAAAATTCACTCCCCATTCCCCATGCCTATCTTTCTCTAGAACATGTTTTTGGGAGACATAATCACTTCCTCCCTAGTCTCACCTCTTTTACAATTACTTCTGATGGAAACAATGTCTGATATTGTTCTCTAACTATTTTCAGGGTTAATATATTATCGCCCCAATGGAACTTTAAGCTCCTTGAGATAAAGTAGCAAAGCTGATGCTTCTTTTGAAATGTCTACAGTACTTAGATTAGTGTTAATATAACAAACAATTAGGTCACATTGAATTGAATTCCCCTTTCCTTGTCAATTCAACCTTCTTAAAGTCCTTAATTCAAGTTGATATTAGAATGAGAGTTGTTAGAATTGAATAAACCAGTCTTCTCTGACTGCCATTGAAATGCTTTGAATGAATTCCCAACCAAGGCTTTTTGTATAATCGGTAACCTTAGTTTTGAACTGCAGTTGTGATAGAATGATACCCCATCCTCTCTCCTTTTAATAATGGTCAGTTTTGATGCTTTGTGTTCCGGTCCTATCAGCATAGATCAGCCAAGATGAAGGCAGTTGTGTGTAAGAGAACTGTCAACTTCCATAATAAAAGCATTTATAAAAATAACTTTAAAAATCCAGATCCTCCAAGGTTGGCAGCCTCTGGGAAAAAAATGAGAAAGACTCTATGAGTGAAAAGAGGGACTGCAGAAGTCTGGGGAGAGAATATTCTCCCTCAAGAGCAAGAAGCTCCTCAAAAAATTAAAACTAGCCCTAACCAGTGTGGCTCAGTTTATTGAGCATCATCCCACAAAGTGAAATGTCTCTGGTTCGATTCCTGGACAGGGCACATGCCTGGGTTGTGGGCTTGGTTCCAGGTTGGGGTGTATGTGAGAGGCAACTGATCGATGTTTCTCTCACACATCGGTGTTTCTTTTACTCTCTCTCTCTCCCCCACTTTCCCTCTATCTAAAAAATAAATAAATAAAATCTTTTAAAAAATTAAAAATGGAACTATCATGATGCAGGAATTCTACTTCTCCAAAGGAATTGAAATCACTCAAAAAGATATATGCACCCCCATATTTATTGCAATATTTATTACATACTTATTACAATAGCCAAGGCATAAAAACAACCTAAGTGTCTGTCAATGGATGACTGAATAAAGAAAATGTGGTATATATGTACAATGGAATATTATTTAGCCATAAAAAAGGAAATGTTGCCATTTACCACAATATGGGTGGACCTTGAGGGCATTACGCCAAGTAAAACAAGTCAGACAGAGAAAGAAGATACTGTACCGGGGTGTCCAACCCGTGGCCCCCTGGCCACTTGTAGCCCACAACGGCTATGAATGCAGCCCAAAATAAAATCATAAATTTACTTAAAACCTTTTTTTGCTCATCAGTTTTCATTAGTGTATGTGTATCTAATGTGTGGCCCAAGACAACTCTTCTTCTTCCAGTGTGGCCCAGAGATGTCAAAAGGTCGGACACCCCATTTCACTTACTCACAGATACAGAGAGCAGATTGGTGGTTTCCAGAGGCAAGGGTTGGAGTGTGTGTGAAATGGGTGAAGGTGACCAAAAGATACAAACTTTCAGTTAAGAGATAAATAAGTCCTGGGGATGTAATATATAGCATGATGACTATAGACTATAGTTAGCAATACTGTATTGTGTATTTGGAAGTTGTTAAGAGAGTAGGTCTTAAAAGTTCTCATTATAAGAAAAAAATTATAACTATGTGTGGTGATGGATGTTAACTAGATTTATTGTGATCATTTTACAACATACAAATATCAAGTCATTCTGTTGTATACCCGAAACTAATACGTTATACGTCAATTATATTTCAATAAAAAATATAATGAAGTACTTATCCCCCCCCCAAAGAAAGATGTCTGTTTTGGGAGATCCAGAGTTGGCCTATTAAATTAAGAATATGCAGATTATGACCTACTGAATGAGGAAACACAAGTCACCCATACTAGGTCAACAGGTAGATCCCTTGGCATCAAAGCTTCTACTTGAGGATGTCAAAATCCCAGGGCTCTTTTGATAGAAAGCACAGTTTCAATACACTCACACAGAGGAAGTAAAGTTACAAGATTTATTATTTACAGGTCCCAGAATGGAGGTGGAGGTGGTTAGCAGTGAACTGAGGGAAGGACAGTTCTCTGTCCCAGGTCACAAGTGAGCAGGAACTAGAGATTAGGATAGCAGACACTTATTATACACTCGTATAAGGTGGTCAGGGCAAAGATCAAGAGCTCAACTTTATGTGGTTATTTTATTTTATATTTTTTAAAGGATGTATTTATTTTTAGAGAGAGGAGAAGGGAAGGAAAGAGGGAGAGAAACATCAATGTGTGGTTGCCTCTCAAGCAACCCCTGCTGGGGACCTGGCCTGCAACCCA